TATATATATATAATAGATATAATAATCTCACCTTATAAAATTTCGTTGATATTTTGAAAGTAAACATACCTCAAACGAAAAGCTATGAATATGTCTCTTGCATATCCAAAATTTTCTACCATGTAGCATCCTTCTTCGACCACCCATGCTTTTGTGGAGTATTCCTTTTACAAAGTTTTTTCTCATCATAATCAAGCATTCTCTTAGACTCTTTAATATAAGTCAAATCATATTGAATATCAATTGAATTTGTTTCACCATATTAGATTCATCTGCAATATATATTTTTAAGTGAAGAAATATGAAAAATATTTTGTAATCCTTGCATATGAACTGACAAAGTCAATCGATGACCCACATTTCTAATCCTCCACAATCTCATATGGACCTACATATCAGTGACTCATTATTTTTGTCTTTTCAAAACGTTATGCACCCTTAAAAGAACTAAATTTGATAAAGACAAACTCTCCAACTTCAACTTCAACTAGTTTGTCTCTATCATGTACTGCCTTTAGTCTGTATCTGACCAGTCTAATATTTTCAGTAGTATCATCAACCAAATCAACTCTAATAGTCATTCGTTCACCCGCTTCAACCCAACATAATTTTTTCTTGCACTTTCTTCCATACAAAGCTTAATATTGAGCCATCTCAATACTAGTTTTGTAACAATTTTTGTAAAAGAAATTCTAGTTAAAGTTTATGTGATTCCCATCATCTACCAAAATCAAAAACACATAACTTTAGTAGATCCTCTGAAGTCTGAATAGTTTTCTACGACTGAACGTCTGTGTGAGGGTGAAATGCTATACCTAAAGTCAATCTGGTGCCTAAAGCTCTCTAAATTTTCTTCCATTCTATCATGTTTGTTGGAGACAATAAACATAGGTACTCCATGCATTCGCACAATTTGATGCACATACAACTTGGCTAATTTCTCAACTGAATTTGTCTTTCTTACAGACTTAGTCAATTCATTAGCAATTACCCAAATAACATCACGACCCCTGACAATATCTAGGCAATCCAATCACATGGTCCATAGCATTCTCCTCTTTTTTCTACTCTGAAAGTTGTATAGGTTGTAATTGACCTCTAGGATGCTGATGTTTTGCTTTCACTTGCTGACATGAAGGACACTTGCTCACAAATTTCGCCATACCCCGCTTCTCTCTTGACCACCAAAATGCTGCTTTGAGATCTTAGATAAATTTTATTACTCCATAGGTGAATAATATAATCAGATAAATGTGCCTTCTCTAGAATTCCTGTCTCAAACTATCAACATCAGGGACAAACCCTGTCTTTATATTTCAAAAAACTATTTTAATCTAACACATACTTCTCCAAACTGCTTGCCTTAATTTACTTCAGGATTTTTCGAGCAATGTTTTCTCTGGCTAATGAATCCTCAATTCTACCCTTCAAAGTGGATTGTACGGTCAACTGATTTAATTGGACCATACTGTCATCACCATAATTAAAATAGATAGCTTCAATTTCTCTATTATCCTTAAGTAACTGCGCCTACTGAGTAAATAGAGAATTCAAATTAGCTGAAGCCTTCCTTTCATATCTTAAGCGCAAATACAACTGCTGCAATCTTCATATAATGTGTGGGATAGTTCCTTTCGTGATTCTGCAATTGATGTGACACAGGAAATGACTCTTCAAGACTGCTTAAGTACACAACTCAAACCATTCAAAGATGCATCACTGAAAATTTGAAACCCTTCTGACTTTAAAGGAATAACCAACACTGAAGTAGACAATAAACAAATCTTTAGCTTCTGGAAAGCCCCTCACAATGATCTGACCATTCAAAGTTCGCTGCTTTCTGAGTCAATTTCGATAATGACATAACAATTTAAGAAAACCCCTCTACAAATTTCCTATAATAACCAACAAAACTAGAAAACTCCCGATCTTAGTAATAGTGGTAGGTTCTGCCTAATCTAAAATCGTCTTGATCTTGTTATGATCCACAAATGTCACCATGATTGATAACATGCCCAAAAAAGCCACACTTTTAAGCCAAAGTTCACATTTAGAAAATCTTGCATATAGTATATTCTTCTTCAAAACCTACATCACAACATGCAAATGATCTTTATAATCGACTTCATGTCTAGAATGCACTAGGATATCGTCGATAAAGACAATTACAAAAGTATTTAAAAATTGATTAAAGACTCAATTCATCAGATCCATAAAATTTACTGGAGCATTAATCAGTCTAAATGAAATCACCACAAATTCATGGTGCTCATATCTGGTCTTTAAAAGTTTTCTTTGTTGTGTCTTCCTTTTTAATCATCAAATGGTGATAGTCTGATCTTAGATCAATATTTGAAAATGCAGAAGCCTCTTCTAATTGATCAAATAAGTTATCAATCCTCGACAGTGGATATTTGTTTTTAGGTGTGAGCTTATTCAAACTCATTGTAGTGAATGCATATCCTAAAGCTCCTATCCTTT